AATGATCATTAATAGAGGCCGTCATAAGAAAAGGTGCACTTATAACACCGAATGCCATTCTTTTAAATCTTAATTTTATCACATTACTTTCCACTACTTCTCCCTCTATATCTTTTAGCCAAAAACACCGGGTCAGATCTCTTTGATTTTCCGCAATCGCAATTTGATGGAACGCCTTTTGAACATCAGCTATAGCTACAATTTTACTCATTCTAAAACGCATTAGGCATCCGACTAATTCAGGTAATAACACGGGTCCTCTGTAAAGTAGATCATTTAAAGAATTGCTTCCTTTTGTTTTAAAACTAGCATTAAAAACTATTCTTAATTTATCCTTTTCTTTATTATACACTGGATGGTGAGGAATGTACAATGTAGAATTTTCTTTACCGTCATTATCAATAATTTCTAAAATTCCCTCATTAATTTGTGTCATAATCATTTCATTGTATTTATTTAATCTTTTTGTTTCCATTAACTTTTTATGCACGGACTTTAGTACTGAAATGGCTCCCCAAAAGTTATTTTTTATTTTTACATTTTCATCCTTTAATGGCCAGCTCACTACATATCGGCCATCTGAGTCTCGTGTACATGTTTTTTGAAAGTGTTCCATGGCTACTTTGTCGTCATTCTGTACTGGATTTTCGTGGATACCTATGCCTTCAAGTTCCCAGTATTTATGGAATTCCTTTTGTTCATTTTCTTTAGAAAGCGCTCCAATTACTTTTTGCATTTTTTCATCAATTAATTTTCCAGGTCCGGATAAAATTTTTCCCAATTTTGTATTAAATATTCCAAAGCCTGCTTCAGTATTTTCAGCCAAAAAGATTTTTCCAAAGTAGTCAGAGCCTAATAAAATACCTGGTTTTTCAACAAAAAGAGAGTTTTTCGGAACGTATTTTTTACTTATTGCTTCTTCAATGGCCCTTTTTGTTTGAATGCACATTCTTGTGGTAACATTATCTGCCCCTCTTACAAAAATTCTCATTATTTCTCCATCTAGGCAATGTAGGTCTACCGGGTAAATAGGCATGGTTCTGTTTACTTTACATCCAAATATACCATTTCCTCTAAAAATTTGTGTCTTAACCGGAATTAGTCCTAAATTTTCTGCTATCTCATTTTCTATTAACGAAATGTGACACCCAGAATCTAAGAAGATTGGAATGTTTTCATACCTTTCAGGATGCGAGGGGTGACTTATTATTGCTTGTGTGGTTGGAAGCATTATTTCTAGTGTTTTATCAAAATCTGGCTCTATTAGGCTATTAAACTGTTTATTTTCAATTCCTTCTTCTTTGGTCTCTTTTTCTATTCCAACGCACACTTGTTTATTTATTTCGGTTTTAGCTGAATTGTATTTCTGTGTGTATTGATTGGGGACATTTCTTTTGACTATATTATTTTTATTTATTTTCTGACAAAATGCTGTGTTATGGCCGGGCTTTTTACAGAAAAAACAATTTATTTTTGCCCTACAATTTTTTGAAAGATGTCCCGATTCTAAGCATTTAAAACAAATTCCTAATTCGTGACATTTTTCGGCCCTTTGTTCTTTTGTTGAAAATTTTTCGCATCTTGATTCCCAATGAGCCTCAGAACAAAATATACATTTTTTCTTAGTTTCTTTTTCTTGGAGGGCATACATTACCGAAGAAATTTGTTTTGACCCTGTATTATAATTATTTCGGCTTATATTCGCATTGCCATTACGTTGAAATCGGCCTGAATTTATTTTTCTATTTTCATTAAAACGCCCTTTTAAATTCTCATCTATCTCATCTAAGTCTTTTTGGGCCAAATATACGTGCTGTTCTAATTGAATCATTTCATCTAAAAATTTTAACATAGCCTCAACTTTCCATTCAGGATCGGCCCTAGTTCTTTTTACTATCTCTTTTAAAATCCATTTAGGCATTTTTCTTTGTATTAATTGTTTTATTTGTTCGTGCTCAATATCTTCCCCTAATTGCTTAAGTTGCCTAAGGATACACTCAATTTTTCTTAAAGTATTTTTTACCTCGGGGACGTATTTGCTGCTTCTCGGGATTTTTATTAATGCCCCGTGTAACGCACTTTTTGTTATATTTTTATTACCGTAATGGTCCTTTAAAACCTCTAAAACTAATCTATAATTGAGTGCCGTAATCGCGTAGCCCTGAACTAATTCCTCAGCTTCCCCTCTCAGTGCTTTTCGTAAATAGGAATGTTTCATCTTATCCGAAATTTGTTTTTCATCTATCATACTCATGAAATCTTCATAAAATGCCTCCCAGTTACTTATATCCCCATTAAATTTTGGCAATTCGAGAGTAGGTAAATTTGACTCAACCATTGTTTGATTTAGATTTCCCTGATTCCTTATAGTAATGTTCGCATTTTCGGATGGACAAAAATCATTTAAAATTCTTAAGTTTTCCCTTAGATGTATTAATCGTTCCCGGGCTCTTTCCATTAAAATCATATGGCCTTCTGGACCTTCCGAAAATTCCGTAAAATTTCTAGCTGCTCTTTGATATTGCTCGTCTTCCATATCACCTAACCAATTCATCCAAATTTTATTTTGGCCCTCTAACTCATTTACCGAACAACTTATTTTTTCTATATGTGTAATTATTATTTCTTTTAAAAGATTACATTGCCTGCGACGTTCAGCGCCTTGCAAATTCCCATCTAGGCTGAAATCCTCTTGTTCCACCTCTCCCACGTAGCGGCGCAAACGTTCCTTGATGGGGCGGATAGAAGCTTGAATAACTGCTGCCATTGTTGTAATTTAATCGCGGTGGAATATAATATTGTGCTGAAGGTCCTGGTTGTTGTTGTAAATAATTCTGCTGTTGCGGAATTTGTGGAAAATGTTCTTGAAAATGTTGTATTTGCTGTGGCTGCGGTGGCACTTGTATCACAATTTGTGGTTGCTGCTGTTGTTGTCGTAAATTTCTAAAATTACCACGACCACGCCCACGAAACGTATTAGAAAAATTTCTACTCTGTGGATATCTATCGAAATTAATTTGTCTACCACTATGTAAATAAAACGACCTGTTTCTTTGATAATTTGGCCGATATCTTTCAGAATTTTCTCTATTTCTTCTTAAAGGGCTTCTTCTTCTAATCGGGCTACGCTCTCGTCGATTAGGCAGTTTGAATTATTTTTACCCTTTCGGGTTCGCAATTATTCGCAGGTTCGATTTAGCGGCACCAATTGTCGAAATTAATAAATTTCGACTTAAAATAAATTCGAAAAGACGTAAAATTTTAATATTTATTCTCAAAGTTTAAAAGTTTTAATAATTTTTTTGGGGGAAGATTTTTATTCTTAAAATTAAAAGTGAAGAGGAAAAAGATATTTTTGGGGCATTAGAATTTGCTTTTAAAGAAGGGTGAAAACAAGAATTGTTTTAAAAGTATGATTAAGTTGGAATATCAAAAATATGAATTATTTGGGAAGAAACATGAAAAGAATCATCGGAAAGATTATGAAATAATAATAAAAATAGAAATTGGAATTTTGTTAAAAAATATTAAAAATATAATATTATGAAACATCATTAAGTCGGGCCAGTCCCGACAAAATCCTAAAAAATAAAAAAATTTTTCTTTTAAAATAGTTAAAATAACCTGGCGTGATGACGAATTTGCAGACAGCTCCAAATAATCTTCTTCTCGAATGCCTACAAAATTAGACATTTCTCCACTAAAATGCCTGAATTTTTTGATTTTTTAGACCAATACACATTCGAAATACACTTTTGCCAATACACATTTTGCCAATAAGGGTAAAATTCCACATTTTGTCACTATGTTTGTAGGCAAAACAAGACTTTTTACCCTTATTGGAAAAATGTGGTATTGGCGAAATGTGTTGAGGACTCGTATTTTTTCCTCTTTTTCTCTCGTTTCTCTCCTTTCAAGCCTTTCTCTAAACTTTTTTTTTCTATATTTCCTACTTTATTTTTGGCTATCATAATTTACCAATACACATTTTGCCAATAAGGCTAAAATTCCACATTTTGTCTACAAACAATAGTGGTAAAATGTGTTGTTTTACCCTTATTGGCAAAACATGGTACTGGCGAGATATGTTGAAGACGCGATTTTTTTCCTTGTTTTCTCTAATTTTCTCTCGTTTTAAGCTTTACTCTAAACTTTCTTATTCTATATTTCCTACTACATTTTTGGCTTACATATTTTACCAATACACATTTTGCCAATAAGGGTAAAATCCCTCATTTTGTCTACAAACAATAGTGGTAAAATGTGTTGTTTTACCCTTATTGGCAAAACATGGTATTGGCGAGATATGTTGAAGACGCGATTTTTTTCCTTGTTTTCTCTAATTTTCTCTCGTTTTAAGCTTTACTCTAAACTTTTTTTTCTATATTTCCTACTACATTTATAGCTCCAATTTTTGCCAATACACATTTTGCCAATAAGGGTAAAATCCTACATTTTGTCTACAAACAATAGTGACAAAATGTGTTGTTTTAGCCTTATTGGCAAAATGTCGAACTGGCGAAATGTGTTGAGGACTCGTATTTTTTCATTTTTTCCATATTTCCCCTAAATTCACCACAAAATTTGGTTTGTTTTTCATTATTTTTTTTAATTTTAAAGGAATAGTCTATGTAATCGATTCTTTGTGAAATTTTAATGTCAACATTTTCCTATTCAACACCTTCAAATATTCCAACTCAAAAGCTTTCAACAACTCCAATGAATTCTTCAACTGCTTCCACTGTTTCTAATAATCCGCAACAACCTAGAGATGTAAATTGGGGTTTTTTTTAATTTTTGGGGGGATTTGTAAGATAAGGGGAGAAGCAATTCCAGGGGATTTTTAGTGGCTTTTTCTTGAACTTTTTTGTGGACATTTGCGGACATTTCTTGCGGACTATTGTTTTTGGGGACATTTTTTGCGGGCAGTTTTTGGGTGTTTTCCAGGGCTATTTTAGGGTATTTTTATGGGGACTTTTTTTGTTTAATTTTTGCGGACATTTTTGCGGACTAGTGTTTTGGGGTTTGGGGACATTTTTTGACATTTTCTTGTGGACACTTTTTGTGGGCTTTTATTCTTTTCCAACACTTTTTGGGTGTTTTTCCAGGGCAATTCCCGGGGATTTTTAGGTGACATTTTCTTGTGGACTTTTCTTGTAAAATTTTTGAGGACATCTCTTGCGGACATTTCTTGCGGATTTTTTCTTGTGGACATTTTTTGCGGACTCGTGTTTTTGGGGTTTGGGGACATTTTCTGACACTTTTATGCAGAATTTTATTTTTTGACATTTTTTGCGAACTCTTTGCGGACTTTTATTTTCCAGGATTTATTTTTTCCGACACTTTTTGGATGTTTTTGAGACTTTTTCTTGGTCCCTTTTTTGTAAAATTTTTGCGGGCATTTCTTGTGGTTTTTTTCGGATTTTTCTTGCGGACATTTCTTGCGGACATTTTTTGTAGACTGGTGTTTTTGGGGATATTTTTTGACATTTTCTTGCGGGCACTTTTTGGGGTTTTTGCGGACTTTTATTTTTTGGACTAGTGTTTTTGCGAACTTTTTTTCTTGCGGACAAGTTTTTTGCGGATTCCGCAGGAATTTGCACACCCTTTCAATTGCCATTGATCCTCCAAACATTTTTTTAATTTTTTAGTCCCCAAATTATTCCCAACAATTTTTGCTTCAAGGACACACAAAAGGTGTCGCTTCCGTCAAATTTTCTGCAGACGGACAACTTTTGGCTTCAGCTAGTGCTGACAAAACTGTTCGGATTTGGTCTGTTGAAGATGGGAAATTGGAGAAGAATATTCAAGGTTTGTAAGTTTTTTCTTAAATAGGTTGCTTCCACATAAGTTTGGGTTTTTACTAGAGCTCACAATCAAACCAAGCCCGTAGCCAGGAAAAATTTCCCACCTCCTGGTTCGGACTTGAGACGAGGTCTCGATTAGGGTTGAATTTTTCAAACCGGGCCGGTTCGAGTCATTTTTTCGGGCCTCATTTTTATCGAACCGGGCCGTTTGAGTCTTTTTCGGGCCAAAATTTGAGGCCCGGTTCGATTTTTCGAACCGAACCGGGCCCCCAACCTCGATCAAAAATCCTTGTTATCGGGATCGATATTTTCCGAGATATCTATCCCAATCATCGTATGGCCCTCCCAGTCTAATCTCTAGTTTTTACTGTTCCTCTCAGCTCCAGATCGGTGCGCTTAAGATTTTTCGGCCAAACGGCAATTTTCCAAATTTCTAAAAAAATTTTTCCATTAAATCTTTCCATTAAATCTTAAAACCACCGACTAGTAAGCCATCCATCTGGATCTCTTCCTTTTTCATTACACCTATAAATAAGATTGATCTCAGACAAAAATTCTATCCCCGATCCAGATTCCCTATTAACCCACCCCAATTGTAAAAAAATTGATCATTATTTTTTTAACTTTTCAGGTCATAAATTGGGCATAAGTGACGTCTGTTGGTCATATGATAGTCGAATGGTTGTTAGCTGTTCTGATGATAAAACACTTAAACTTTTTGATATTACACAGGTTTATTTTTTAAATTTCTGAATTTTTTTTCAAATTTATTTTCTAAGGGAAAATTGATCAAAACGTTCCGAGGCCATCAAAATTATGTTTTTTGTTGTAATTTTAATCCGCAATCAACTTTGCTGGTTTCTGGCTCGTTTGATGAGACGGTTAGAAAAAATTTTTTTGTGGGGAAAAATGGGGCGTCTAAAAAACTTGTTAGTCTTTGGCCAGCCCCTATCCACCCTGCCCCCCGAAAAAAATCCAGGCTATGGGGTGGGTTTGTAGGAAGAGGATTTTATGGACAAAATATCCCAGTAATTATTTGGAACTCCAAAAAACTTTTCTTTTCTCCTGGGAAATCCTCGGATACCGGGTTGACACTTTAGGACTGTCTTTTGCGGATAAATCGGGTCCCAAATTCTTTGGAGATCCAAAAACACATGTTTTTTGTCCTTGGAAATTCTCAGATACTCGTAGCCGATACCCGAAAAGAAAATTGTGAGACAGGCCGTCTTTTGCGGTAGAGACATACGGATCGACACCAAAGGTGGGTCGGAATTCCAATTTCCAACTTGCGGTTTTTTTTTCTTCCGATTTTCGAAATAATCTCCAACCTTTTAATCCAGTACCGATTTCCGGCTCTTCCAATTTCCGACGCCTCTGATTGTTCCGACCGACTTCTGATCGACACTTATGTATGTGTCAGCATGTGTCGGTCCGCAACTGTCTGGTTCGCAAGTTTCGGTTCCAGATACCTTGAACCACCAGCCACAAATCTTTTTTAGCCACACTACCCTTTTTGTCCGATAAAATTTTCTTCATTTTTTTAATTTACAGGTCCGAATTTGGGATGTTCGTTCAAGCACCTGTGTCCGTTCATTGCCTGCACATTCTGACCCAAGTAAATTTTCTTTTTTTTTTGTTCAAAAAAATTTTTTTTTAATTTTTCTTTTAAGTCAGCGCTGTAGGTTTTAATAGAGACGGTTCTCTAATTGCTACAAGCAGTTATGATGGCCTGGTTCGAATTTGGGAAGCGGGTAGTGGTCAGTGTATGTCTACACTTGTTGGTTTGTTTTTTTTTGAGATTTTTAGAGAGATTGAAGGGATGGGTTTTTGCGGATTTTTTAACTGCCCACATTTTTGTCTTTTTTCATTCTTTGAAGAAGAGTCCGCAAAAAATTTTGGAAAGATTATCCGCGAAAAATTGAATTTAGGGGGGTCGTGGGTTCGAACCCGCTCGGGGAAATTATTTTTTTAATCTTCAGAAAAAGGGCAAGGAACACTATTGTGAACAGTTAAAACGATTTTTGAACTTTACACATTTTTAAAATTAGAAAAATAAGATTTTTGAGGCAAAAACATGAAAATGGGGAAGAGGGGGGAGGGGTCGTGGGTTCGAACCCGCTCGGGGAAATTATTTTTTTAATCTTCAAAGAAAGACTAAGGAGCATCATTTTGAATATTTTTTAAAAATCTTTTGGTTATTGGGCATTTTATTGCACAATAAAAATATCCACAAAATTTGTCCGCAAAAAAATTTGTCCGCAACAATTTTTATAAAAAATAAATTTTAAGATAATGAAAATCCGCCAGTTTCTTTTGTTAAATTTTCACCAAATGGAAAATATGTTTTGGCTGCTACAATGGATAGGTTTTTTAATTTTTAAAGACTTAAAAAGAAAATTGCGGACGAAAAATAAATCCGCAAAAATTTTGCGGACGAAAAAATAAATCCGCAAAAAATTTTGCGGACGAAAAAATAAATCCGCAAAAACTTACAATTTTCAAAAAATTGTACTTTTTTTCCAGTCAACTCAAATTATGGGACTTTAACAAAGGCAAACCTTTAAAATCATATCAAGGACATAAAAACGAAAAATATTGCATTTTTGCCAATTTCTCAGTTACTGGAGGTAAATGGATTGTTAGTGGATCGGAAGACAATCAAATTTATATTTGGAACTTACAAACACGTGAAATTGTTCAACGATTGGAAGGCCATACAGGTTTTTATTTTAGAGGATTTATGAAGTGGACCCTTGAAAAAAAGTCCGAAAAAAATTTGCGGACAAAAAAAAAGTCCGCAAAATTTTTGCGGACAAATGATTATGGGTTCCTTAAGGTTCTTGCGTCCTCGACCCACGGCCACTGGTTTGGGAGCCATATGCATCGCTTAGACAGCTATAAAGTTTTACAAATATACATCAAGGATTCGGGGTTACTGGAAACCCGGTCTTTTTTTTGACTCATACGTTTCGTAAAACCATGGTGAACCCTTTGACTTTGTCTCAAAGAAAGGGAATTCTCTGGAGAGGAGGGAGAGTCTCAATTCGACCGCGCTACTTTCCCCCGCTGGGAATCTCCGAACCCGAAATCCCCGCAACCCCCAATTCCCCCATAGAATTGGTCATCAGCCCCGAAAGAATGTCTGTCTGTCCCACTCTGTCAGGCCCGTAATCAGGGTTTTTTCCGCAGGGAAGGAAGAAAAATTTTTGTTTTTAAGCGAAAAATTTGAGAATTTTAAAAGGTCGTAAGTAGTTACCCTCCCGTAACCGTATCAAAGGAAAATGCCGCCAACCTATTGAAGGGTCTGGTTGGGGGAGGGGTCCGCCCCCATAAACGTCAGCCTATTGAAGGGTTTTGGCGCGCGATGGGGGAGGGGGTAAGGGGAAATCCAATCCTAATGGGGTGTTTTGAATTAATTAGGGGGAGGGGGCAAGGGAAAACAATTTGTTTTACTAATTGGTTTGGGGAGGGTGTAAGGGAGATTTTAAGGTGTTAATTGTTCTACTAATTGGTTGGGGAGGTGTTAATTAGTTGACTAATTGACTGGGGAGGGGGTAAGGGGGAACTTTTATTATCAAGAGATGCTAATTGTTTAACTAATTGGTTCGGGCAGGGGGTATTTGGAAACAATTTGTAAAATAAATTGGTTCGAGGGAGGGGTAAGGGAAAATTTTAAGGTGTTAATGAGTGAGTGCGCGAAAATTTGGTGAACGATGGACAAATGGTGGATGCTCTACAAAACCCAAAATGTTCTCTTTAGAACAGCAAATCTAATAAGTGAAACGAGACAATTACTAATTTTTCTTGTATAAACTTTTGTATTTTTCTTTTAATTTCTTTTATTATTAATAATTCACACTAGGCAGGCTAACCCAGAAGATCACCTACTGAATTTTTAATATTATAGAGGTGATCTTCAGGGTTGTCTTTTTGGTAGCTTTTTCTTTTCTAAACATTTAATAGAGCTGTATAGAGAACAAAAGGAAGTTGCGTAAAAATAAATTTTGGATAAAAATAAAGTGAAAAAGGACTTGGAAACATATGTTTTTGTGAAAAACTGTGATTATGACAGTTATATTCATTATAATTAAAAATAATTTGTCACATTTTCACCCAATAAAAATTTTCTGATTTGTTCTGATTTTTTAGGTTTTAAATAAATAAATAAATAAATAATGATTTGGGTGGAAACGAATTGTACATGCCCGGGAAATCTCAAATGCTTGAGGCCTGGTATTTATTCCAAGCCTACTTTTTGTTTGCCACAAGTTGTCTCCGCGGTAGATTTCGAACAATATGTTTCCAATCCGCTACAATTTCTGCCGCAAAATTGTTCAAACGCAACTATTCTCTATACACTTCTATTCTTTATTTTGGTGTCTTTTGCTTTTCAAGTAAATTTTTCTCTACACTTAACTAAGGAGGGGATTGTTACACTTTCTAAAAGATTTACACCATGATTTAGCTAATAGCCTCTGTTAATTAGGTGTTATACAGTGACTACACTAAATTTCTAATTAATTATATAATATTTAGTTGGCATCATTTGCCTTTATGGTTTTGAAAAAACGTAGTCGTCCTATGACTACGCGTCAATTTGCTGCTGGGCCTCATCATATTTTGACGCCTACTGTACAACCAACACCTTTGGTTGTCGACTGCCGAGTAATTATTTTTAATAAATTAATTAGTTAATGAATAAGTATAATAAACCAAAGCTGGGCTATATCTTTCCCTCAGCTGTGCAAAAGGGGTTTCGACGGTTGGGAGTGAACCAGCATCTTTAGGAATTAAATAACTATCATATTTATATTATTTAATAAATTTTAAAAACAGTTAAAATAATAAAAATATTTTTCACATTTCAGAAGAAACGTACTCCGGCAACGGAGATGAAGCTTTTCTCGTCTTCACGAAAGGAGGCCACTCTTGAGAAGATGAGCAAATTAGTTGCCAAGGAGGCACATCATCATTATAGATGAAACTGAAGAAAATGAAAAAGAAAATTTATAGATTTAAAATAAAATTAAAAAATAAAAGTAATTAAAAAATTAATTTGTATTCGACATTTAAAGTAAAGTAAATATTATGAAATATGTAGTTTAAATTTTTCTTGCAAAAATTAGATAGGAAGTAGAATGAATTATAATCTAGATTAGTAAATTTTTGTGTTTTATAGAGACAATAGTAGTTAGATAGGTGAGAGAGAGTGAGAGAGGGAGAGGGGGGGGGGGGGAGAGAGTTAAAGAGAGAGGTAAAGAGAAAGGGAGAGAGAGGGAGAGAGGCAAAGAGAGAAAGGGAGAGAGAGGGAGAGAGAGGTAAAGAGAGAGGGAGAGAGGTAAAGAGAGAGGGAGAGAGAGGTAAAGAGAGAAAGAGAGAGGGAGAGAGACCAGATGCAACCAGATGCAAAAAACCGCATCTGTTTATCTTTTTGGGGTCCGATTTTATTAAGCAAAATGTCCAATTTTTATTTAACAAAATTTTATTTTTTAACTCAACATTTAAAGTTACAATGAAAGTTTTCAAACATTTAAAGTTATCAAACGTTTTTTCTTAACTTAATGTCAGTTTTTCCTCTTCATTCTGCTTTTCTTTTGGTACCAATCTTTTTCCTTGTTTTGCTCACAATCCCCATCTTTTAAATAGAAACTTAAATAAATTTTTAAAGGAAAAGTTACCAATCTTCTCAGATGATGAGTTATTTTGTTGCATATTTTTAATATTAAAATATTAAATATTTAATTGCGGAAAAATTTGTTGTAAATTATATAGAATGATCTTAAGAAATAAGGATTATGGATTTTTTAGTAAAAAATGGGCGTGGCTTAATATCGATTTTTTAAAAATGGCTTGGCTTCGTTTTTTCAAAGTTGGTGCCTGATTCAATACTGTAGGGTTAGATAGTATAGACACCTACGGGAGCGAGAGAAGGGTATATAAACTCAAAATTTTGAACAAAGTAAATTAATTTTAGAAAAATTTTAATAAAATGGCCCTCAACATGAATGACAAGAAATCATTATTAACCCAGATTATCCCTGAAGTCGACTTCAACATAACTACTAATGGGATAACCATTACTAGTGAACGAATCACCACCCCGCGTTTCATTCCTTTTGAACACGGGGGTCGGTGCCGGGAATGTAAAAGCACAGAAGTAGAATTGGACTTCATTGTTACAAAGGAGGGAGTGACAATTTATTGTACTCGCCTGTCATCTCCTCGTTTAGTGCCATTTGATTGCATTTATGACCTCCCTGGTCATTGTTTCTTTAAGGTCATTTTCCTAAAATAATTTCGGATGAAATATAAATTTTAGATCAAAAACAAAGGCCGCGTCTTGAATATACCATATGGTTCACAAGATGTCCGCTCGGTTGTGAATACGAATTCTCGTAAACGTGAAGCTACTACTCAGCTTTCGCCTCTAAAATCTCCTCCCCATGAGCCTCTCCAAGAGGTAGTAGATCCACCATTGATTGAAGATGTTCAAAATATTGAACAAACTCCAACTATTGAAACCGAACCATCTGTTAATGATTTAAATGTTATGGGACAACCCAATGCGGACGATGCCGTCATTATGGAATTTTTCGATTCTATGCAAGCTGTCACTATGGGCATATCTTCAGAGATAGAGGTTAAGAATGAAGTAATAGCTAAGATGGAAGACACTAATTTACAACCACCTATTTAAATTCGCAAAGTATTTAAGTTAATTAATTTTTAAGTTCATTAATTTTCCTATCATTTAATATGGAAGCGTTAACTTTTTCAAATAAAGATTTAAAACTTAAACTGCCTTTTGGTATGATTGTCTCAGGTCCTAGTTCTAGTGGCAAGAGTACTTTCTTGCTCAAATTTATCTCAGAGGTAGATGAGTTAATTGAACCCAAACCAAAGAGTATACTTTATTGCTTTGGTGAAATGAGTAGTATTGTACCAATACTTCAAAAATCTGGTGTTAATGTGTTTGTCGGAGCCCCACCTGAAGACTTAATAAAAACACTACCCAAGCCACTTCTTTTAATTTTGGATGACCTTCTTTTGTCAATAGATGAAAAATATCTATCTGAACTTTTTACAAAAAAGTCACACCATCAAAATTTTTCTGTTATATTTGTTACACAAAATTTATTCGACCGAAAAATTAAAGTCGCTCGTCAAAATGCCCAGTATATTGTACTGATGCGGTCACCTAATTCTGCTCTCGCAGTAAGAAATATAGGAGTCCAACTCTTCCCTAGAAGGCTAGATTATTTCCTGGATGCCTACAATCAATCAACAAACCAACCTTATGGATATTTATTGATTGACATGCATGCCTCTTCTGACCCAACTTTAAGGCTTAGGACAGGAATATTTAAGGAGGACGAAAAAATTATTTTTACTCCAAAAAGTGGCATTTAAAATGGTCGGTCATTTAATTAGTGAAAATTCAAATTTTCTAAATACTCTGTGTTATACAAAATCTCAAAGAAAAATTCGTCGTCTTTTACGACTTGCTAGTAATAATCAACTTTTAACACTAGTAGAAATTTGTCTTAATATTGTTAAATCGAGGTTTCAGTTGACAACTCGTCAAAAGAAACGTTTAATGCCTTATGCCTGTTTTGTTCGAAAAGTAAGTAGGGTTCGAAGCGAAAGGGGAGCAAGGCATGCTTTGCAGAAGGGAAATGGTGTTGGTGCGTTTGCCGCTCTCCTTACACCCATACTCATT